AGGAGAAGTGAAAGTAGGAGGAAGGAATATCAACAATCTGAGATATGCGGATGATGCCATAGTACTATGGTACAGATCCAAGAAGAAAGTGCAAAGGCAGGCTTACTGTTGAACGTAAAGAAAAGAAAAATCATGACCACCGAGAATCTTCCAATCTTCTAGATAATGAAGAAATAGAAATAGTGAAAGAATTCCCATACCTGGGACTTCAACTCCCAGAATCCCAGGGGCTATTGGCCAACATGGGACTATTGGCCAACATGGCTGAGGCTTCTGGGAGCTGAAGTCCCTCGGCCCTTAAAGGGGAAAGGTTGCCTACCCCTGTTCTAGAAGATGGCCTCATGGCCCAAAAACCCCTGTCTTAAAGCATTTTCAAGGGAAGCAGGTGAATGGCACAGCTTGTTTCTGCCCAAACGTAGGCCTTTGAGGAGCAGTAGGGTCACCTGGTGCGGTCTGCACCCCCTTAGTGACGCCCCTGAGGTGTAGTGAACTATATATCCCAGCTCAGTATAAACTCCAAAATTCAAAATCCGAGATGTCACTTTTTCACAAGCTTTCCAAAGAAAGAAACGCCCCTCTCTCCCCATTAGATTTGATAAGGGTTTGATTGCCGCACTACGCTCTTATAGCGCTGTTGTTCCACTTTTACTGCTCTGGTTATCTCCTGTTGCATTCTGGGATTTGCAGTTTAAGGATTTGCAGTTGAATTTAGAATATTAATCCAGAGAGCTCTTAGCCCACACTGAACTACAAGCCTCAGGAGGCACCCAGAGCAATAAAAATGGAATAGCCGCATTATAAGAGTGTAGTGTGATAATGTGGACAGTTAAAGTGGGGTCAAACTGTATTAATTCTGCGGAGCCTGCACTTCCCAGGATTCCATAGCACTGAGCCATGGCAGTTAAAGCGTTGTCAAACCAGATTATTTCTGCAGTGCGGATACAGCCTGGGAGGTCTCTCATTCATAGGGTTGCCAATGGTCAAAGTCCACTTGAAGGCAGTTAACAAGAACAAATGGTAAATAACTTTTGTGCCTCCTTAATAGACACTTTAATTGTGGGTTATCAAGCTAAACCCAGGTCCAAAACATACTGCAGAAATAATCCAGTTCGAGACCGCTTTAACTGTATTCCCAGACGGACGGAGCATGCCGTTCCCCAACGGCCCTGTAGGGGGCTCCATAACGCATGACTCGCCGAGGTGCACCAACGCCCGCTTTAGCCAATGAGCTGCTGAGGGACGTTTCCAGGTTAGCGGTCTTCCTCCGGTTGCTTAGCAACGTCTCGTTAGTGGGAGGAGCCTAAGCCGCCTCCTCCCGGAAATTCCTCTTCTGCCCGTTGCTAGGCAACCGCGATCCGCTGCGCCTGTGGCGTGTGCATTAATGCGCCGGGGGTTGCCGTAAAGCTGCGCCGTCAAGCCTCCCGTCGCCTGACGCAAAATGCCGTGAACGGCGCCCGGTCGGGCCTAGTCTGTGGAGGGCAAGCGGAGGCGGAAAGAGCGGCTGAGGGGAAATAAGGAGAAGGCGAAGGACGACGAGGGCGCCCTATGCTCCGTCGCCGGGCGGCCCTTTCCTCCCCCTTCCCTTCCGCCCCCATGCGGGGCCCGGGCCGAGGCCGCGACGGAGCCTCCCCCGCCCGAAATGGCCAGGAAGACAGTTAGCAGGAAGAGGAGGGCGCCCGGGGCCCCTTCGGCCGGGCCTGGCGGGGAGCAGGTAGGAAAGAAGGAGGGCGCCGTTACTCCCGCCGTTACTCTCGCGTTACTTTCTCCGTTACTGTGAAGGGAGGCCAATTCGGGTCTGGGAGGGTCGGCCCCTGAGGAGGAGGAGGAGGTCAGGGTCGAGGGTGCTGAGGAAAGAGGGAAAACCTTTCCCTCCTTTATCTGAGGAAAGAGGGGGAGAAC